TTTTTTTTTTTTTTTTTTTCTTTACAAGGGCACTCATTTTTAAAAGCCAGAAATAATGCTTAATCTGCCCACAGCCAAAAGACATGGCCTTGCTTTGATTTGTGGTAACATGTTTAAGCAAATACCGTGCTCTGGTCATAAATCTCTTTGTCAAAGAGAACAGCCTGCAGCTGTACCTAGCACAGATTTTTGTCCAGCAGAGAAGCAGGAAATATTTAGCAAAGATAAAACTTCCTTTTTGGAAAGAGGAGCCAGGGGAGCAGAGCCCAGCACCCCCCAAATTTTGGGGATTTTTTTTTCCCCAGTGTTCATTTTAAAAGAAATATCACAATTTTAAAAGAAATATCATACTGAGTATTGTGTATGTAGCACAATAATGATCTATTTGCTGGGAGTAGGGAGTTATTTGAATTCAGATGCTTGAAGGCCCAGAGGACAAGAACTGAGCCAGAACACTGGTATTGCTCCTGACTCTGCTATGGCCTCCAGAGTGCCTTTTGACAAGTCACATGATTGTCTTTCTTGTTTTACATCAGGACAGACTCGATGTAGTTATTAATTACTGTGCAATGATGGGATCCATGTGAGGGGGTTTGGGCACTTGCTGCAGTTATTATCTCAAAGAACACGAAAGAGTTACAGAAAAGCAGTTATCTCTCCTTGCCTTTCCTTGCTGACGGGAGCATCTGTATCAGTGGTCAGACGGGCAGGACACTGAATGTGCTGAGGTCCCCAGGCATCCATGAAGGTCCTTCACGGACAGGCGACCCAGCAGCAGAACTGTACCTTGTCCTTCTGGGCAGAGCAGAAAGGGGAAGAGTATCTTCCAGATTATTTGGTATGTACATGCTCTGAGCTGCTGCTTATTGGTTAACGTAGAAAGTTGCTTGGTACTTATTATTGTATAGTTTGGTTTTGCTGTTTCCATAACACATTTTTTGGTAACTGTCTAATTCTTCTTTATTTGACAAAAGTTACACCCCTAGCAACTACATAACAACGCTTCGGAGGCCAAACAGTGGGTCCCCAACTTCAGCCTGACTTTCCAACTCAAGATCAAGAGTTTGAGACACCTCTTTGCATGTGTTATGCTAATTATTTGAAGGCTGTACAGTAAAAGCACTTTTGAAATATTAGTCTTTGCACAGCATTGGCTCAACTTGTTCAGCCTTAACTGGGTGGATATCAGATGCATCATGCTAAACCAAAGAGATAGTTTTTCCAGAAACATGAGCAGCTTTTGAAGGTATCCTATTTATTCGTGGCTGGAGTCCAATGAAGTGCTTGTCATATGTATATATACAAATGTATATACAAAGTTTTCACAGTCTGCTTGACTCCAGTTAGTAGGATTAATGTCTTTAGTTTTATCCTTGCTGATTTATTTCACTTTGATCTCCTCAGGGTTTTCTAGTTTACCAGCAATAGTGTTTCATGATTTAACTTGGGCAACTGAACATCACAAACACAGGAAAGAGACTGAAAAGTTTGTACAGAATAAAGACTTACGAGATAGAGATTAGCCTTTGATTATTGTTTTATTTGTATAATTGAAGACAGTCAGGTTTTGTAATTCAGATTTTTTTTTTTTTTTTTTGGCAGCAGCATGTGCGGGAAGGCATGCATTCAAATTGCTGGAGACCATGGTTTCCAAACTTATTTCAAACACTTAATCTGCCTGGTATTTTGGGGAAGGAGTTTAAACCAGAGGGATAGTCGAGTTATTGTTTCAATGGCAGTTGTTGCCTGTACTCTGGGAAGTATTCTGTTTGTACATGTAGATCAGAGAGGAATATTCTATCCTTAAGTCATAATAGCAAAGGGTGGTGGGGAAGCTAATCGTTTTATTTTCAATTTTGTTTAGGGTAAAGGTAATTAGATTTCTTTGTTTTTCTTTCATTCTGAGCATCTTCAACCTATGAAGAGGAATAGGACAGAAGCAGGATTCCTGTTCTTTCAGTAAGTGTAGCTCGCAGTGAAAAGTGACTGCATGGCAGCTGCATCAGTCTTCCCAGACACGACGTACTGTCCTCTGCAAGCTAAACTATTAATCTGGAGAGGAAAAAAAAAAGAAAAAGGGAAAGCAGTTAGCCAGGAATAACAGAGACAATTGTAGGAAAACACTAGGAGCAAACAAAGAAGTAAGGCAAAATTAGGGAAAATGGAGACAGATTCTGAATTTCCCAGTGACATTTATGAACTAGCTCAGTTTTGTGGCACTGCCAAGGCAACCAGTCGTGGTCCCAAGTAAGAGCTGTTGTTTGATCACTTGCTGGTGTGGTAGAAGGGGAAGCACTTTTCTCAGATAGACACACAGAGGATGTAGTTCCACATTACCAAAGAAGATGATCTAATTGTCATTGGTTGGTATGTCTGCTTTTTCTTCCATTAGATTTGTATCAGGCTACCCAGAAAGGCTAGGATCAAGAGTCTTAGGAAGGTGACTGCCTTAGCAGTCATCAGGAGTATAGTCCAAACTGAAGGTATCTTTATACTCTCTGAATTGAGGGGAAGTTACCTGTGCGCGCTTGCAGAAGGCTTCTTGGGCGGCCTTCTTGTTCTCTGACTTGCCCACCCATGCTGCCAGTGCAGAGGCCTGCAGAGCTCTCCCATATGAGAAAGTCAGTTTCCAGGGTTTTGGCAAAGGGGACTGATTCATGGCATTTAAGTTGAGAGAAGCCTCCTCTTCACTTTGACCTCCAGACAGGAAGCAGATTCCTGCAATACGGAAGAAAAGAAGCTGAGTGCTGCAGCCACCATAGCCCCTGACCCTTATGTGCTAGGGCAATGAGTTCAGGAGCAAGGCCAGTGAGAATGACAGTGTGATACATAGTAATGGGTACATAGTAATAAATTGGGAATCACCAGGCACAGCAGCAGGAACAGTACGCAGGAGAGTAGTGACAGTTGCTACAGCTACATCCTGAGGTGTGTATTTCTTGGGACAGGAAAGCCCAGCTGTCACCATGTTCGGTTGTAGCAGTGTCCCTTCCAAGTAGACATGGTGATCATTCAAGGCCTTGTAGACAGCAGCCAGAACCTGAGAACAGGAGGATTAATATAGACCCATGATCACAGTATGCTGAGATTTCACATCCCTCACCCATGCCTCTGAGGTCTTGACATACTGAGACTCACCTAATTCTCACATGCAGTGTGCTCAGCCTATTGTGAAAAGACAGCTTATTGCTTGAGGGAGCGGAGAGAAGATCAAACTGAACTTCCCTTTCTCTTGAAGTTTAGCACAGCGGTGGCGAGTGCAGCCCTGGAGATACTACTGCTTTTGGCATGACTAAGATACTCTTTATGTTTCTTGGATTTATTTGTGGACATGGGTACAGAATAAGAGGTAGATATTTTTACCCCCCATTAACCTTTGTGAGATGCTTGTAACAGAGATTCGATTTGGCATCCAAATGACAAGCGACTAAATTTCTCTTGTTTTCTAAAACTCTTATTTTCTATTAAATCATCATTTGTGACATCTCATTTCTACAGTGTAGTTACGAAGTATTTTTTTGGTCAAAACCCCATAAGATTTGTGAATGCAAACTCTGCACTAGACAATCAGTGATTTTTGAAGAGGGGCATAGCAAGGATAGCTTACCTTTTCTGTCACATACTGACAACGCTGGAGATCATGGTCTCCGTCAGGCAAGATTTCTGGTTCTACAATGGGCACCAACCCATGCTAAGGAAAGAAAACGGAAAAATCTTTGCTGGTGTGGAAACAAAACTGCCCAACCCAACACTGATAGTGTCCTGATTGCAGTCTGGCTGCTCTTTCTTATTATTTTTTAATCTGCTTACAGAGATATAGTTGCTATCACAGGAAACAGTGAGAACTCATAACAGCATCTCAATAAAGGCTAGTGGAGGGTAGATACCTGCTGGCAGATGCTGGCATAGCGTGCAAGTGTGTTAGCATTCTCCTGGATAGCAAGCTGAGACGGAGTTGTGCTGGTAATCTTCAGCACTGCCCGCCACTTGCCAAAGTCAGCACCGTCTTTCTTGTACTGGGCACAGCGCTCAGCCAGTCCATCCAGCCCTGCAGATAAAAGAATCTTTATGGGTAGGGCTCAACTTTGTGTTCTCAACACAGTACCAAAACTATCATGGCCCCAGCTAAGGCTGCGATCAGATCATCTGGTAGCTTTCACTTTACCAATCATAATCACATTTAGATCTCTCCTTGCCTTGTATGGTGGTTTCTCCATTTGTTCCTGCTAGGGGTGCTGTGCCTTTATCCAGCTGTGGAGACAGGAAAAATAGATGGAGATCAGTCTGTTACTTATCTTGTGACTCGTGGCTGGTCTGTCTTTGCAGACAAACTATAGGTAAGGTATGGGACTGAACAAGCTAAGGGGAGATAGCCAAAATGTGTTGAAGCAAAGGAGAAGAAAAGAGTGAACTCAGAAAGAGGACTTGGCCGTACGCAGGTGGCTGAAAGGAACAAAGGGAACAGCTCAAGAGTTCTGCCAATCTCTGAAAGGATTTTAATTTGTGTACTGAGAGAAGAGGTTTGGTGTTAGTGAATGATATAACATTTGTTGCAAGGAAGTAGTGCTGGATGAAAAGGTTCTGGATCATATATAAATGTACAAATCTGTCCTGCTTATTTCTTCAAAAGCTGTACAGAGAATGAGGACAGAGATCCTCTATTAAAAAAAAAAAAAAAAAGGAAAAAGGTTTTGCAGGGAAGAGTGCAGCCCCTGTATTATAATTCTCATTGGAAATAGGGCTTCGAGAATTGTGACAGCCAGACACATACAGATACCCACCTTTATTCCCACCACAATGCCTTTTTCTTTGATGAGAGCTGGAAATGGCTTCCCACTGCTGTCTTTCTGATAGAGAGTCTCATGGAAGAGGATCACTCCCCCAATGCTCTGATTGATGGAAGCATCCGAGGAGAAGAGAATCTCTCTAAACGCACGGCGATTCTCCTCTGTGTTCTCCACGTTGATCTTCTGCAGCCTGTTGCCCATGGTACCTGGCAAGGTAGCCAAAGGTTCCACAGAAAGGTGTCAGGTGTAGTTAGGTCTTTAGTATTCACAGGAAGTAATAAGAAAGATTGGAGACTTCAGCTCAAGGCCTCCCTTCAAAACCCGATTAGCAGCCTTCATTGCTACAGACTCAACCCTGTCTGGCTGGAACAGTTGTTCCTACAGGCAGTTTTTAATTGTTTTGATTTACTCCACTGATTTGGAAGATTAAGCAAAATGAAGGGAAAAGGCCCTGGTAATCCTAGTTGATTGTTATTCAACACTCACCCACTGATTCATCTGCAGCTAAGATCCCCTTTCCTGAAGCCACAATGCGCTGAGCGATGTCTGAAAGAGCTTTCTTCTGCTCTGGAGACAGTGCTGGGAATTGGTGGGTCATGATGCCTTATCTGTGGAAGAGAATTGGGGAAGATGGTATGCACGACATGTGAATCAGAGATGGCAGTCTCAAGTATTCCTATTAGAGGCTTCTTTCTTGTTTCTTGTCTGATTTGTTTCATCACTGAAACGTCATTCAGAAATCTAGTTTGATGTCTTCTGAACTTGGTGTGTTTTATGATACTAGAAGAGGGAAATGCAGAAATCACATGCTCATGTATCCTTCCAGAACCAAAGTAGGAAAAATTTAGCATTTTGCATAGATTTGCTCAGAGCCTAAAGGGAGGTCCATTTCTCATAAAAACCAGTAGTAAACTAACAAGTATGCTAATTGCAGAAAGCGCAAACTCCTGTGCAAACAGCTAGGACATCTTGGTCCTGGTCGGAAGACAGTTAAAATTTTCGCACAGCTGACCTTTACGCTCCAAAGAACAATGCCCCTTTTCTCATTCCATAGCTAGTGTTTGTTGCCAGTATTTGCTTTGTCTACCTGCATTTTCATCCTCTCTGTACTACCTTACTTTGTGTTTCTCCTGCCCATGTCTGCTTTTAATCTGTAGCAAGATGGCTATATTATAGAGATTAAAGATGTCAGAAGGGTTCACACCCCATTTCTGTCTTTTCAGTGCTGAGAGAGGCTTACCAGATGCAGATATCCAACACCTGAAATTCAGGTTCTGTCTTGTTCTGATGAAGTGTTTAACCTTCATAAGGTTTTGATTATCTGGGATTAAATTACAGTTCCTCAGATCATCTGAACAGACCAAATAATTTTCTTGTGTATAAGAGTGTGGAGCCTGAGACAAGAAGACTTTATCACATGCTCTAGCTAGAGGAACACCCGTGTTTTTACTGACAGGTGGTACACTCATGAGAGGAATCATTAAAAATGACACATCAGATCTCAAATTACGAGTTTTCCCCCCACAGGGAGGGCAGGCTTCTGTGCAGTAAATTTATCTTTCGATTCTCGAAAAGCCTTAGAGAGGAATAAGAATCTGTCAACACCTCGTAGTTCCCACCATTCATTTCAACGTGTACTAGAGATCAGCTCACAGAGAAAGCCATTTTTCTTCAACCTTTTCAAGTTCCCACACATACTGTGTTACTAGGGAATCTCTAGCTTGCTCTTTCTACTAAAGGGCATAATGAGAAGGGATCATCAGGGGGAATGGCAGATGCCAGCCACCATTGAGTTTTGTTATCTGCCAGATGGTGCCAAAATTTTCTGGCAATGGTAATGCCACAGGAAATGTCCAGTGCTGTTATGTCTCTGATTTATAGTTGAGGACACTTTAAGATCAGTTATGATACTGTGCAAAATTAAGAACAATATTGATTACCAGCTGAGACTAGTGTTACTGAAATGTAGTGTCCAGATGTCTGCTTCTCCTTTGCGTAAGTTGCTGGAGGATAGAAGTGTTGCTATGTGATTTGTCAAAGATGAGTCATTCCAGATTTACAGACAGCTTGAGAGAGTCTGTGATGAAGTGTGTGTCAAATACGGGAGAACTTCCTCCTCTCCCAGCTGCTGAAATAATGAAATAAATGCCTTGATCTTACAAAGAAGCTGCTGTTGAAATCCTCTCTCTGTATCTCACTAGTGGACAGAGCTCTGTGAAGCTCACCCTTCTTTTTCTGTGATGACCACAACTCCACTAGTACTATTTTTAAAAGAGAATTTGAAAAGCCATGGACTGTGCTGCACAGTTTATTAAGCTTATCTATAGCCCTGCTTGTCCTTTCCTGTTCTCCAGATCTGTTACATCTCTTAGAGAACTCTTAAAAATGGAAAACTAACTTGTTGATATAATAATTATTAATAACAGTACTGTAGGAATTTCAGCTAAATCCATGGTACAGTTACATACATTTTTATGTAAAATGTGGTGAGAAATAACTCTACTAATTCACCGTACAAAAGGAAAACACCAGCAAGTTGTGGGAAAATATGACCTTGCCCAAGGTCAAAGATAGTTAGTTGCTAGATCAGTAGTGGATTATCAAAGTACATCTACTTGAAGCTTGGAGGTGTGCTGCAGTATGATCTAGGTGGATCTAGATAATTTATAACCCAGCTAGCAGAACTACAACCTCATCAACCACTGTGGTTACTTTATTGTGAGTATACGTTCTCCCCAGTAGTGCACTAAACGATGAAGCTAACATCTGTTTTTTCTTGTTTGTTTCCTGTGTTTACATAAAGATAACAAAGAGATGGTTATCACCCAAAACGAGCCTGCAGAAAAAGAGCAGAAATATGGAAACAAGAGGCTTCAATAGATTGTTCTTGCAGTAGTCTAGCTGAGTAGTGTGGGAGACTGAGACACTACTCTGTCATTCCACAAGGCAAGAATGAATTGGAAGACAGCATGTTAGTTTCTGTTTTCATGCCTGTAGTCCCTTAGAATATGGTAGAGTAGGTGGATACTTGACAAAAACAGCCATTTTGGTGGCTTGTGTATTGTTTTCCCCAAAAGATCTGATCACCTCTGATCCCCAAAAGATCTATGAGTCTACTGTGAGTATTTCACAGCTTCTCTGTAGAGCTACATGGAACTATAACATGGAGAGTGTTACATATAACTGGCAAAGAAGCGGGACGAAATGGTGAAGTGAATGCAAAAAAACTGGTAAGGCTGGTGTTGGTTCCAAAGTCCAGATTTTGGTGTTCAGGGGCACCTGATTTAGGGCCCTTTTCTATGATCCTTCATTAGGAGCATAATCTCCAACAGTCGTCTCCGCTGGATTCAGAAGGGGTGTGTCTGCTGTGATGTGCTGCTGTGGATGTATAAACAAGATGGAGAGGCTTGCAGTTCAATAACACTTCATTACTGTTGCCATGCGAAGAATAAGCTCCCAACATATCAAGAGAAGCACTAATGCCTCCCTAAATAGCCACTGCAATCTAATTGAATATGTCATGGCACAGGTCCCCCAAAAAATGATCATGTCCCTGTCGTGAGCACAGTTTTGACGCCGTGTTTATTTCCTCTGTGAATGAAGTTTGCCTGATTATCTTTTTAATTTGTCAGTTTTTCCAGGCATGGAAAGTCCCAGAGGACCTTTTTTCTTAGTAGCAAAATATAACAGTTGTCTCACCAGTAAAGGTTTTCAAGAAGTCTTATTTTTATTTAACTGTTTTAAGTTGCAGGTTACTCTATGTGTCATGTATGTGTCATAAGCTCAGGTGATTTCACATTTATTTAGATGAGCATGTGATGATGAGCATCTCTTTGTGGTAAATGTTCACAGTATATCATTTTATCATTTAAAAAATAGAACAAACAAATAAAAAACTGCACAGCATACATCAAAATCATCATTAGGGCTACCTCCAGTGTTTGTCGGATTTTAGAAGCAACTTAAACAAACAGTATTCTTAGTTCTTCCCAATCGGTGACCAGGTGACAGTGGAGATGGGGCTATAGGGAACAACACAGTTATAAAAGCAAATATTGTACTGACGAAATCTCATGTTTGTCTCAGGTACCAAAAAGGAGCGCTGCAGGGGAAACATCTTTGTAGATATCAGCACAAACATTGCATTCTGTTAATATTAATAGCGTGGGCCAAAGGGCAGAGGCAAGACGAACATCAGAAAGAACAAACTGCTGCATTCCACTTGAGGTCATCCTAGAAACATGAATATTTTATTGACTTCTTTTGTATCCAAAACCTGGAGTGACTGCCATCTTTTGATGTTACAGAAAAAGAAATCACCTGAGTACTGGTTAGCAGGTAGGAAAAAATCAGATTAGAATAATTGTATTGTTCTGTTGGTCTTGTTGTCTTCTTTTCAGACACCACTCTTGCAATATGGTATATATGCAATACATGTAGCTTCGTTAATCAGTGACCACTAAACACAATCCTTCAACACCATCTCCATTTCTTTGAAAATTAACCATACAAATCATATTTGCATGTTGTTGCACTGTGTACACCATAGATTCTTCTTCAAAAAAGTATGTGCGACAGGTTGGAAGAAGCAGAAGTTCCATACATGGTTACATGAAATAGATACGGAGCATGAAATATCTTAAAGTGTAGGCCAAAATACAAGATCTGATTCTAATTGTTCTACAGGTACCTAATATTAACCTGTTTGGATTTAGTCCCTTATTTCATTTGTGTATGTAGGAAGGTCAGACCCATAATGTTCTACACACCTTATATTCTCATTAAAGAGAATAAGTTTATATATTGGCTGATTTCACCAAATAATTTTGTTAAAAAGCTATTTCTTTTTGGGTTTTTTTTGACTTTTGAGAAAATGGTAAGCGGTTAAATAAGCCCACCCCCACTAGAGGATGCAGTGCGTGTGGAATACTTTTGTTGTTAAGAGCAATATTATAGGATAATCTTAATTATTAATAATTATATTGCTGAGAGCAATTTTGTGATATATTTTTATATTTTAAATGATATTAATGAGTAGAAAGTGAATGTACTGTCTGCTATCTAGATTTAAAAGATGAATCTTTACAGACTGAGCACAGTCTTCTGTTTCTGTAGAATCTGAAACAGGGCAGCATATTCAGAGTAACGTGGAATTTATCCTGACTTTAGCAAGGCTTTTTACGTAGTTTCCCATAATATCCTATATACATTTTAGGATATAATCAGAAGGGTAGATGGACAAGTGACTTGTCATCTATCTGGGTGCCAGTGAGCAGTGGAGTACTGTAGTGTCTAGCCTTGGATTTTTCCTCTGTAACATCTTCATCAGTAACCCAGAGAAGCACATTCGCATCATGTCTGCAGATGATGCCAAACTGGCAGAATCAGTTGATACAGTGCCCTGCAGGACTGCTATTCAGGAGGACCTGAATAGACAGGAGAAAGAGGCCAGAAGAGGCTCCAAGACATTTGGGCTCGACAAACATCCAGCTTTGCCCCTAGCAATGCAGCATCCTAGCAGCAATATTGACCAGTAGGGCCAGAAGCAGCGCTGCACAGCTCAGCATTATGCCTGGCAGCAACAAGGGCTGTGAGAGCAAGGGGAGCAAGTGAAGGAATTATCCCTCTCTGCTCATCACTTGTTATACCATATCTAGATACTCTCTTCAGTTTTGTCCCCCACACCAGTACAAGAAAGTCTCTGAGAAGCTGAAACAAATTCAACAGAGGTCACTGAGAAGGCTGAGGGCTGGAACAGTTGAGAGAAGAGACTATAATACCAGAGCTTGTTCAGTCTGCAAGCTTGTTCAGCTTCAGGGGACATAAGAGCAGCCTATGGGGAGCCTATGGGAAAGTGATTGAAGAGACAGACCCAGGCTCTTCCACCCACTTCCACCTTCCACCTCCCATGGTGGGAGGATGAGCAACAACAGGCATAAGCTGAAGCTAGAGAGATTCGGACTAGATAAAAGGATTTTTTTTTTTTTACACTGTTAGGACAGTTGAGGGGTGGAGCAGGTTGCCCAGTGAGATTGTGCTGACTCCATCCTTGAAGGTTTTTAAGACTCAAATAGATAAAGCCTAGAGCAACCTGGTCTGACTCCATAACTGACCATTCTTTGAGCAGGAGGTTGGACTAGAGACTTCTGTTGTCATTATCAAGCTGAATTATCCTGTGATCCTGTGAGTACTTGCTTTGGAAAACTGCAATGAAAGCTGTGCCTTTTGTATGTATGATTAATAGGGATGTGAGAGGGAAGATGAGGCTGTTTCTCTGTTTATGTTTGTGACAGAAATGAGAGTTGTAATATACAAAATGCTTCACTGCTAGAGGATAAAATGTGAATTAATGTTAGGGGAGAAAAAGGATCTTCAGACTTTTATTAACCTAGAAAAAGAAATGTATGTTTTTCATTGACATAGTAATTCTTGTGAAAGCTCTCAAAAAGCAGATTTCAGCATAATCTGATTTCATCATGATAGGCCCTTGGAGATACATGTTGAACTTTGGCATGTGTAATAGTAAATTTCCTGTTAGGTTTTTGCTCCTGTTTATGAGAGACAGAGAGAACAATTTTCCATCCTTGTTCTCTGTCTAGGGATCATTCCTGGCCATTTTATCTCAAGTGGATGGAAATATATGAGACTCGCTGTTCCCTGATCTGATTGTCACATGGATTTCGAAGCTATACTCATAGCTCTGAGCAAATATACCCACTCTTCCGTAAGTATGAAAGGAAACTATAGTCTCTGCATCTGGTCTCTGCAGCTGCTGTGAAGCACCCTTGTGTACTCACAATGGTAAAGACAGCTAGAGGCAGCAAGAAACTGGATTCTTTTAAGTGCAGCAATTAGTGTGAAGTTCCTTCTATTTTGGAGCTGAGCTCTTCTTAGAGAAAGTAGAAAATGTTGTCAGATTTGCTTGAGAGTTCAAGTCTTTGAAATGTCATCAGGGAAACCTCAGCTTCAGGTGCCAAATATAAAGGATCACTGAGAACATGTTAAAGAATCACAGACTCTGTAAGGAATTGTATTTATTAACTGGCAGTTCCCTGTGGCTGGCTGTTCACACCTTGCAAGGGTAGAGCCTAATGCTAGCACAAAAAAAATAGTATTTCCAGTATTTCTTTCTTCTTAGTTCCTGCCATTCCAACCTACCTTTCTTCACTCCGCCAAGAAACTTATCAACATAAGTGCACTTATACTTTAGAGGAAACTGCATATGGAATACATATAATAGCATTTCTGTCAGCATAAATATTTGTCAGGAAAAATTGCAAACATAAACAAACACATACAAAATGAAGCAGTAGAAAACAATTCAGGTATGTTATTATATTAGTATCCTCAAACTATACACTTACACTAGGAGTTCCGAGTTACTAAACTAAGGTAGGAAGGCAGTGTAAATAGTAAATGAATTGCACTGGAAGATCACTGCAGAATCTCTGCATGTTTAATTCTTGTAAGCTGCTCCTGGAAAAGAATGGAAACAAAAACAACTCCCCAAGCCTATGCAGTTCACATCAACACTCAGCTGCTAATATGCGTACAACCTTTACGATTCAGGACAAAAAGGTTATACTTACTTGTTTGTACACACTGCCTCTGCTGCTGCAAGCTCCTGACGAGGTGGTTGCAGGCGAAGAGACCTAGTATTTCTTATCACTAGCTTTTATAATTTTTTTTTTTTTTTATTCTCCTACCTCTCTTGGCTGGTTGGGGGAATGTTATCACTGGAGATCGTTCATTGGCTGTTGGAAAACAACGATGCGGAGCCAGTTGGATCTCTTTTTTCTCCCTGTTCCTTTGCCTCTACTCCCCACCTCCTTCCCATGTACATATAGCACAGGTTATGATGAAGTGGAACTGAGCAGTTTTTCATATTACAGTATTCCTCCTCTTTCAAAAACATAGCAAAAACAATTACAAGAGCAACAAGAGGAATTGTTTACATGCAACTTGGAGGTAACTTTCAGTTTAGGGCTAGATGTTTATGTTTAGGAAACTCCACAGTGTGCAGAGCAGCTACACGGGAAAGAAGGCTAGAAAACAAAATGCAGGAACAATGGAGTAGATTCTTGCTTGGCATGAATTATTCTCATTTCAGTCACTTCCTACCTATTGCACTGATAATTTAAGCCAAAAATGTGTTTTCCCTTTCCAGTTCACATTTAGAAAAGCAAAAGCTAATGTTACAGTACTAGGTTTAATGAAGCAACAAATCCAGATTTCCCTTAGAGCAGTGCAGTGTGGCACATTTGGCAGTGAGGGTTATCAGAAGAAGTATGCCCACATGAAGATGCACAAGCTCAGGCTAAACTGTCCTCTGAAATCTTACTGAAACACCTTCTGCCTGAGTTATGACATGAAATCTCCTCAGTTACTTAATAGATTGTTTCTGTGAAAAAGCGCAAATTCTCTATAAACGGCATATCCACATTTATTTTATATCAAGTGCGCCTAATCCACATAGATATGGCTGATTTTTCTCTTATTTACATTCCACGTCGCTGGAGAGAAGTACAGTATAGGGTCTATGTTAGGCAAATATCCTATCTTCAGCAACAGCAGCCAGTGACCTTGGACATTGGCATGTCTTTATCCAAAAAGCCCAGTGTTTGCTTGGATAGTGACGTATTTTCTCAATTTTTTGGCTCATGTAGTGACACCTTTAACCTTTGCATGAACTAAGTGAGAAAGGTGATTTTGCCTCTCACTGAACAGCTGTTAACTTTATTAGGGCACTTCCTCTCTGAGCCTATCAGTTCTAGAGGTGTGTGGCAAGGTAAATGAGTGTAGAAAACCTAGCAGTTAATACAATGCCAGCCCTAGAACTTTGTGACAAACAATAAAGATCTAAGAAACCTGTGAATTCAGTCTACCAAATTTAATGGAAGATCTTGTGCGTTTTTTGTTTTGTTGTTTTTAACTGTCTCCTTTCCGATCTGTCTTTTGCTGAAGAATGCTGTGGTACGTAACATTGAAAGAAAACCTTCACCGGGTTATGGTATTTGCTTTATATCCCATGTCCCTTACTCTAGCAGAAAGGTGAACTCAATATCTTGTGAAATTTCGTCCACAAAGGCTCCTAGTATGGATTAAAAATATTTTTAATAATTTATCTTATCTAATACCCTTTTGGGGTGATGCAGGTGTCATAATTATGGCATACTTCAGTGCCACAGAGAAAATCCTTTTGTCATTTGGTCAAAAGCTGTCACAGGTAAGAAAGTATTTGAGATTCTTCTTTTTTCTTCCTTTTTCCCTTTTCCTTTTCCAAAAAAAAAAAATGAAAAAGACAGCTTTCTCATCTTTTGAAAATGTTTTAGATAGTCTTATATTCTGCCCTATGTTCTTACATTTTGAGAGCTTTTTTTTTTTTTTTTAACTTGTGCAGTAGCTGGTATGTGCCTTGTGCGTGCCTTTCCATTCCTTCTCAGCTAAAAGCCAGCTCTTCTAGATCTGCAGGTTCCAGCAGATGTTCTGAGAAGTGTGGAGATGAAAAGTGAATAAACATGGCGGCTAATTTTTTTCACTTCACTGAATCATAGTTCTAAATATTAATAGCACTAAATCTGACAGTGACATTATCTAGAGTGACTACTCATTTCACATTTTTGCCAGAAAACCTCTTCTTTCCAAATTATGATTCAGATAGTGCTGCTTAGAAATCAGTAGTGGTCTGCATGCTGGACACTGGAAAAAAGAAAAAAAAACACTGATTGAAATTTAGAACTATGTAAGAGGATTTCAAAACCCATTTGAAATTTAGGTTAAGAAAATATATGTTCTTACAAGATAAGGTAAGGGGAATAAGCTTGTATGGTAAGGGGAATGCAATATATTTGCATTCAACCCAGCAATCAACCAACAGCATAACAAAAGTTATTACCTGCACTAATTGTTCTACATCAAAATCAATATATTGGCTAGACTCTGTATCTGTTTCACTGAATTACTGTTTGAGCTTACAGTGTCACTGACTCCCTCAGGTTTCCAGTGTCAAAATTAATTTTGAATTTGTTTCTTTTTTCATGTAAGCCCTTCTCACAGTAACAGTTGGGACTAAAGGTAGCAAGATGGTTGTCTACAGGTGTGAAGAGCCTTGTCAGAGGTGGTTACATGAGGACATTATTTTGAAGGAGATTGGATTTGTAGCTATGGACAGCATGACTTCAGTACAGGAAGCACCATGCAGGAAAGTTGGGGGACTTTTGGTGGACACGGATTTTGAGGATTACTGAAGGTGGAGTCAGAGGAGTAAGGATGAAGTTCAGGATGTAGATTTGGGTGCTCCGATAGAACAGGAAATGAGAGGTGCAAAGAGAGGCCGAGAGGAGGGTACAGACGATAGCAATATGACAAAGTGGCAAGGCCAGTGCAGTGAAACAGAGGCCATTTTCTAGTGTTCACCAATGGTTGGCGTCTATGAGGCTGGTTGTGTTCCCAGCTTCTTAGTGGTATGTGGGGTTTGGTCTCTCCGGCAAGGCGGCTGGAGAAGCTTCCTGGATTTGTAGAGCTGACCATGTAGGAAGACTTTTCTTTGAGAGTTCTGTTCCTGAGGAAGTTCTTTTCTGGGGATCATAATCTCCTTCTGCCTCTGGCTTTGAGAGGGGGAGGTAACACAGCAACCTCAGGAGTAGGGTAGGGCTGGGGAGAATGGGAAGGGGGGGCACTCGAGCAAACAAACAAGTGCATTCAGTTATTATCACAGGTGACAGAAGTTTTACTGGCAAATTGACATGGTTGTGGTGATTGCTAAAGTGTTTCCGTAGAGAAAAATCCTTTAAAACTGGAAGGTCTTAAGTGTTTTTAGAAGTGTAAGGAACATACATACTTAAGGATTCTAAATGGGGTGATTAAATTTTCATAAGTGGGTTATTCATATAAAAATCTTTAAATCTCACTCAAATCTCTGAATAATTACTGAAAAACCTGATACACAGCAAGAAACTGTGAATGTTCATTGTTACTTTACCTTTTATAGCCTAGGAACAGGAAGAGAAAAATGGTGAGCCGCTATGAAAGAGATGGATAAAGTTAAATGTCTCATTTTTTTCTGTCACACAAATGTCGCACAATGTAAGTGGGGTTTGTATTTGAACAGCCTGGAGGTTTTTGCTCTGCTGTATGTTAATGTTGATTTTTTCCATCTGAAATTACCACACAAAAGTTGACAGAAGTATTCAGTGTATTTTAAAAGTTTAAAGACCACAAAATAACTTTATGGCTGATGTAAGTTATTATTTAGGTCTTAATTTGTGGCTTGTTGAGTTAGAAAAAAATATGTACCATTTTACAAGTACTGGATATTCACAGCACAAGTTAAATTGATATTTGTCTTTATTATATCCAATCTTACTGGCAGAAGATCTACCAGTTCTACATTACAGTTTTGAGTGAAATCTGTTGCCTCATGAAGTACTTCAAAATCAATGGAAAGCCTAATTTACAGATATCAGATAAAAATTTAGAATTGCTTAAGTTTCTTTGGATTTAAGATTTTGTTTTGTGTATGTTTCTAATATCATTCTGATAGTGATTTTGGCTTTTAAATGCTCATACTAATTAATATTTTAAATGAAAACACTCAGTAAATGTGAGGAGATAGGAAGGACAAACTGTGGCAGACCTGTGAGAGGAAGCAAAGGGAAAGAAAGAAACAGTTGAATAATTTCGGAGACTGTGTGGTTGGTCACCACATGAAAGTGAAATAGAGTTAAAGCTTGTCTCTGCAGTTCAATAAATTAGGTAGTATTAATCTTACCAACACTGTGGTCAGACCTCTAAAAGGTTTGAAATTGAACGGAAGAAACACTGATAGCTGGAAAATGTTTGAGCATAATGTGCATTCACATGAAAAACAAGTGCCTCTGAGCCCCAAGAGAGTGCTGCCTGCGTGTTGGAGTTAAAGTATAATCGGAGTGTGCTTGAGCTGAGCAGAGTCTGCCTATTTCCACCTATCCAAGCTGTGCTGGATGTTTCTTGTTTTTTGTACTCTGCAGTCTTGCTTAACTATCTCAAAGTCCAGCTTGTTCATCCCTATCTAATCAGAGGTATTGTTTGTAGAAGTGGCTTGTTTTCCCCCTCACCTGTACTCTTAACCCCTAATCCAGAGAGCTTGGCCTTTAACCCTGCTAAGATAAATCTCCTGTGTGTCTGGCTGCACTGTATTCAGCGGTGCCTGCAGACACGTTCATTGTAGGGGACATGGAGGGCTTTGGGGGGAACTGACTCATGCAAGAGACTCCTGAAGGGGAGGACTGCAGCTAAGGGAGGGTCCTGCTTGCTTTCCTCTTGTTCTGACTCAAAACTGGGCTGCGGCAGACATTGTGAAGAACTGGAATGAAGTATGGGCAGGTTCTTATTGTTACTGCTGTCATAACCCAAATCTTTGTAATAATTTCAGTAATGGTGATAGCAAATCTGGATGAGAATCGAAGTCATGCTGGCAGTGGCGACATCTCTGACTGGTGCAAAATAACTGTCTTACTCCACTCATGTACTACAGGACATGAGGATAAATGCAGTCATGACACTGATCTCTGTGTGCTTTTGTTGACATTTAGTTTTTGAAAAGCAAATAGGCAAAGGCCTGTCTGCTAGGATGGGAAGCACTGACCCTATTATTACTAGTCCCATATTACCGAATGGTACATAGTCCCAAAAATACACATTCTTGCATACTGTCTACTAATCTTGGTATATGATTTTTAACATAGTAAATGCAACAGATATACAAAGTGGACCCATTTGCTGAAAAGACTATTGTGGATAAGATTTCTCCAAAGATGGAGGAAAACTACAATACCTTGGCAGAATTCAAAGAGAACATAGGCACAGGAGAATGAATATCTAGCCAGTGCAAGAAAATAGAACACTTTTTTGTTTTGATCTACAGAACCACTTAAAAATTATCAAAGGTTTTAACTGGGTATGTGTCATTCATAGCTTGTTACACAGAACAAAATCTTGTAAATGGATCTCTCTGCTTGTAGGTGCATGGATCAACTAGAGAATTCTCCCAAAGCATGAACTGTCGGGACAGAAGATAATTTATGGAAACTGAGGTATTCAAGCAACAGAGACACATGCAAAAGTGAAGAAATGGAATACCCACCAAGAAACATGGATCTACTGTTTGTGTTATACGATATATATATATATATACATATATATATATATACATATATATATAATATACTGAAGATTATGAAGAACAATATGTTGGACCCTGGCATTGAGCTGTTTTGGAAAATATATCTGTAATGTTGGTATGGAGGTGTACAAAAACAAAGTGTAAGTTCTGAAGACAAACTGCTAGCACTTTGGTTGCCACAGCTGTCTTCTGCAGAAAATTCCCTCTCATACATAATGGAAAATGTACCCTACTCCATGCAAAATTATACTAAATTTAAACTCTAGCAGTTAGAGTTTGAATTTATCTCTGTCCCCCATTAAAGTATCTCAGTACTTGAAGGAGATGGCCATGAGCAACCTAATCTAACTAGACCTGCTCTGTGTCGATGTTTGGACAAGAGGCCTCCAGGAGTGCTTTTTTAATCCGAGTTATTCTAGGATTCTAAGAATGATTATATTGTCCATGCAGATGCCTGAAGCCACCAAACACAGAAATATTTTTCGTTACGGAATTACAGTAATGGAAGTGATGGATCTGCTGGTAAGGAAACCAGCAGTAGCACATAGAACGCACATATGAACAGCAGTGTTACAAGAGGAAGCTAGTTTGTTTTGTAGAAAGTGTGCTTATAAATTTCTTATACAAAAATTATAGACTTTAAACAGAACCATGCTGAGTCCTGTCTGTCATCAATGTGGCTGCTGAAATAGCCAGTTCGGCCAATCACAACTCCTCACAATGAAGAGGAAATATTTTTCCTTTTCTCTTCAGATGTAGTGCCTTCCCACTGGGACACTGATACCTACTATAGTTTTGAAATTGTCTTTGGCTTCTAGTCAGAGAGTGACCAATTTATGCTTTGTGTTCTGCCAGAAATCAAAATTATGTTGGACATACCTTGGAAACAAAGTCAGTTTTTGTTTACTATAAATACTTCCTCAATATTGCCTTGGATGGTTATGCCCTGACTCCTTTTGCCTGACCCATGGGGAAAAAAATATTTTGTGTAAGCTCTAGTTGTTATATGGAGAAGTATATAGTTTCAGAGTGCTTGGAAATGAATCAACTTCTGAGAAAAATAACATGTCTTTCCTTTTTTAAAAAAGGATGATTTGTTTTATTTTGTTTTAATAAAACAATCTCTTAAAACCATGTATGCAAGAATTAATGCTCGTCCTCGATCTTCTGTAGCCTGAGACACAGCAGCTCAGCTCTGCCTCCCTGGCGCAGCAGGAAGGTAAGACTTGGTTGCCTGAAACTACGTAATTGGCCTCAGCTGTGGAACTAAATGCTACCTTCCCTCTTTCCGTTCAATGGGCAAAGTACACTTCTCTGACTTGTAATTTCTAATAAAGCACATAGTACAGAAGATAGGATTAAACATGCTTTTCAAAGTCCAGATGCAGAAGAAGGAAAGAATCATGTCCTGTGAACGTGACTCCTGTTGCTGAATGCCTGAGATGTCACAGAGGTGGGCACTGGATAAGTAACATACTTGAAAACTCAGAAGTAGCTACCGGCAGCTGCAGCAGGAAGGGCCATCTCTGTTGTAAAGATAAACTGGACAATTAGGTTAATACTTCCAGAAGGACATAAAGAATTTATTAAACTGATGCTAGCAAGCAGGATAAGGTGTTTTTTTTTTTATTTATTAGAAACTTTCACTAACAAGTGAAAGTTTTAGCCTTTGTGGGTATTGTTTGGAAATGATTCCCCCAGCTATCTTTTCTTGACACTTTCAATCTGAAAATTGTCTTCCAGTTTAGGATCCCTGAAGTTCATGTTCTTAACTTTCAGGTATAAAACCCAATCTATGCTTAGCAAAATTATTGAGGAATCTGTGTTTGACCTTTCTGATAACAATTTAGGTACTACCGCTCAAAAACAAAAATAATGTGGAGACATTGATAAATTATTTCCCATGTCAAAATATTTATTAACTCTATATTGTCATTTTTCCCTAAGGTTTCTTTTTCTGTTTCTTTCTTAAGAAATCAGTAGTTTATTGCACATTTTGTGAGATTTTCTTTGCAGAAATGAGAATGAATAGACACTCATGAAAACAACAGGGTGTTGTTCTGGATTTATACAGTACAAAGATTTAAAAAAAAGTGTAGCATTGAAAACACAACACACTGAAACATTCAGCAATTAAATAAGGATAAAAAAGTTGTATTTCCTCACATGCACAGGCACTTAGTGGAATAAATATACACTGACACCCAATCCTGCCATGGATTGGCATGGTACAACATCCTGTACCATGTTATAGTACAGGTTGAGAACAGGTTCACCCACCTGCCGCTGGTGTTTCTGCATTACCATTCTGTGGTATCTTTGAGGTTTACAGCACCTAAGGATAAATGGTGAATTTCTTATGTTTTGCCCTTTGAAAGATAAACAATCCCCCAAGCAAGTCATTGTTCCCACATCTAAACTCCAAAGACACTATCAAATTCTATCCTAGCTGAGCTAGTGAAAGGGTGAAGTCCACTTGGCTTAGCATGCACCGCTCCACGCTCCAATCCCCTGTCTAGGTGGCAAACTTGCATTATGCAAGGGTGTATGGGTATACTGTGTTTTTGTACAGGCTGGATATCTGCCATCATGGCAGATAGCTGGAAGTTTACAAATACTTTGTTTTATTTCATCCCTCCAGAGTTCTGTGCCTTTCCCAACTCTGACTGGACTTGTTATTAGTTTAAGGCTTAAATAACCAGGGGAGAGAATAGAGGATAGAAAATGGAGCTTTTTCCTTATGAAATCCCCAGCGAAAACTCAGTGAAAATATTTTGCTTCGTCCATTCAGAAGCTAGAGAAATCATGGGCTTTTCATTAGACATAAACATTTTGATGTTTGTGCTATATTGGTAAGAGATATCTATGACCTACTCTCCAGGTGTCTTTGTATTTCATGTGTCCATGTGCCTGTGCATACAGCTATGCTACAAAATACGCATCCCAAATGTCAAACAACCAGACACATTAAGTTAATGGGTCCATACAGAGGTGGTCCCTCATATGTTGAGCTATTGTTGCTTGCTTTTTTATAAACAGCTAGCTTTGTTTCTCGTGGCAATTACATTTGCTGCTCAGAGCAGCAGAAGAACCACTAGCCTGAGTTGTGAATTACAACTTCCGAAGCAAAGAAGGATCCTCAACAATGGCAGCACTAGAATTGTTTTTTTCCTTTTCTTCTGTGCTGACGGAATCATAGCCCAAAGAGTAAGGCCTGTTTTTAAGGATCTGGATGCACTAAGAGTAATAGTGATGATACCACCATGTTTATTTCCCCAAGTTGTTTAACATACCTAGAAATGAAAACATGCATTTAAGGTCTGGCTGTGTAACACTAAAGGCTGTTGATGTTACCATTCCTACCTTGAGAGGTATGCTTTATTGAAACAGCAGAGGCTTTGCTTTTTAAGAGCCTCTCTTCCAAGAAAGGAGGTGGAAAGTTGGAAATACAGGTAGGATCTGTAGAGGTAGGCAGTAGCAAATAGAAGACCAGTAAAATTTGGAGAATCTACGTGAAATTTAAGGGAGAATTCTCATTATAGACAAGCTGCTTTTGAAAGGTCTGGTCAAAAATGTGGCTTTGAAGCCAGAGATCAGACCTTGCCAAGGACAGAAAAATAAGGGGCTATCCTACTCGCTGGCTTATTGGAAGCATTCATTTTGTTCGGCATTTTGGTTGCCCTAAGGTGAAGATTTCTTTAACTACTGTTGAGGAACGTAGACAGTGCACCTCTGAATGTATTTGTAGGAGCTTTTCTCTTAGAATGATTAAGAAGAGTAGATAATCCAAACCTTCATCAGAAAGCCTCTACTTCCCTCCCACAGGGTGTGTGGTGATTAGTTCAAGGCATTTATTGTGTAGGCCCTTGGTGTATGCAAGTTTATTTAAAAAAAAAAAACTTTTTTTTTTTTTTTTTTAGGAGAAACTCGCTGGGAGGCATAGCACATTCCGTGTGAGTGGCACAGCATCTGAATTTGTAGAGTGTCCCTCTGCCCAGCGGCAAAGCTCTCCAGTCTTTGTGTCTCGAAGGGCAGGGGCAGATCACAACAGCTTGGGGTTGTCGTTTAACCGCAGGCTGGAATACATGCCTACATGCTGCACCAGGTTGGGTTCCACCACGTAGGCGTTCTCCCCCTTAGCTCGCAGCAGGGAGTAGAGGGCTATATCCTTAGCGAAACCCTGGCGGCAGTGCAGCCCCTCCAGGTAGCTCAAGGCACGGCGGGCAGAGGCAGCAGAGAAGAGCACGGCGGGCGTGCAGCATTCGGTGGCAGGCACCACGTTGTAGAGCGTGGGGGTCAGGCGGCGCAGCTCCAGCATGTAGTGGCGTCCCACCAGCTCTGACAACGCCATGCTGTACAAAGCAAAGAACAAGACGATGGGCCAGCTCAGGCTCGGGCGGCCGGCTGCCCAGGAGTAGACGCAGTTCAGCATTGGCCCCAGGAACATTCCCAAACCCAGCCACTCCAGGATTCTCATGGGCTCAGGGTTTAAATAGCGTTGAAGCCTCTCGGGGTGGTAAAGCTTGAAGTAGAGCGCATCTCTGAGGTATGGCTTGGAAAACCGGGCCAGCAAGAGGTGCTGCAGGACAGGGAATATCTCCTCCTCTGGCACAGCGTCATCTTCCACTATCAAGATGTATTCTGGGTTATAAACTGACAGTGACTGCTCAAGGCAGAAGACATAGTCCTGCTTCTCCTTCTCAAATTGGTTCATTCTAGGCTTAGGGTCCTCCTTGGTTTTGTCACGACTAACCATGGGAAAAAAACTGCTAAGCAGCCTGACGTCCTGGTGGCTGCTGGGGTCTGGCTCCACATTGCAGAGGAGGATGCGGTGGCTTTGGCAGCGTGTGCCACACTGCTGGAGGAGGCGGTGGAAGCGGGAGGCTACTTGCAGGACATAGTGGAAATCACTCCGCCGCTGCACAGTGATAATGGTGACCAGCAGGAAGGGCCGGAAGGCCTCACTGCTGGCCGCCTCAGAAGTGTTCAGTACCTGCAGCTCCTCAAAGTAACGGAGAGCAGCCTGGCCCTGCTGTCGGTTCCGCTCCAGGAACTCCTGGCTCATGGGGTTGAGGTGCCAGTGCCGCACGTAGAAATAGGAGTGGAGGAGCCGGTGGCAAATCAAAGGAGCCAGCACACCGAATGTCACCACAGTCAGCGTGAGGAGGTGGATGAAAGGACTGGACCAGCGGCACCACTTCCCGTAGAGCTGCCAGCCTTGGTGCAACATGACTGCTGGTGAAGGAAGGCACTCCTGCTCTGTTCATGCCCCCATTCCTTCAGTTCTTCTGCATCTGCTTTGGATGGCAAGATGTCGCTGGGGAAATGGGTGCCAAACTCTCACTGTTTGATCGAACCTAGGTAGGAAAAGATGGTTAGAAAAACAGGGACTGGCAGAGCAGGGAGAAGATGATTCAAGATGATGAAAAGCTGAGGGTTAGTCACTGAATAAGCCAAATAAAAAAGTCCCCAAAGAAAGTCCTCCTTTTTGGAGGGTATCATGGTGTCAGGAGACACTGTTTACAACAGTAAATAATTGCCTGCAAAGTGCCCACAAAGCTTTTTCAGCATATATGAGATCTGATCTGACCGAGATTGGACCACATTTATGTGTTTGTTACATTGCTCACAGCTTGCAATAAACAGACACCATGGATGTGGTGGAGCTGTGGATAAAGCAATCCTTTGTTGTTAAAGGAGGAGAACCTACACATTGTCCTTCAGCCACAGTCGTACAGTAAGACTTGGTCACAGCCAAGAACCAAAACCAGTCACTCGGTCTTAGTTAGCTTATACTTGGGAGACATTTTTATGCCTTTGCGAACTGACACATTTGCTTTTTGTCACTCATACACTTGCAAAACTGTATACGTGTTTATACTTTGCTTCCCAGAGCATGAAGCAAGATAGCAAAGGTAGCAGTTCTCCTTAGACCTTGTGAAATACACAGTAGCAAGATGAACAAGTTGTTATAAGCCATTTACTTGTAATTTAAAAGTATGTGCTTTTAATTTGAAGCCGAAATTTATAATACTCATTTACTATACGTATATTTATTAGACATGCTCTAAGTAAGCACCCGTCTTCTTCCTGAATAGGATTTGGCAAATTTGGCTTTTCTGTCATAGAATCATGGAACTGTAGAATCATTGTGGTTGGAAAAGGATCTTCAAGTTCAACTAGTCCAACTCTAAGCCCTTCAACACCATGCCTGTTAAATCATGTTCCTAAGTGCCCCATCTACACATTTTCTGAATGGGACAGCGATTTTCTCTGGGCTGATACTGGCTCACAACTAACAGCCTGCCTATAAGTAACCTTCAACAAAATTAAGACAATTAGGCTTTTTATGTGATTCCTCCAGATGTCATTAGTTTTCCTATTAATCTGCTGTTTGACTGTCCTTTATACTTTCCATCCCTTCTCCATATGCTTGTAGCTCTCCACATCTAGACATCAATTAGTGCTCTCTGACAAAAACGTTGCCCCTTTTCCTTTTCTACAATTCTCTCACAGACTCACAGACAGGCTGAGATTGGAAGGAACCTCTATAGATCATCTAGTCCAACCCCCTGCTCCAGCAGGACACCCAGAGCACGTGGCACAGGGTGGCATCCAGGCGGGTTTGGAAGATCTCCAGAGAAGGAGACTCCACAGCCTCTCTGGGCAGCCTGTTCCAGGTCTCTGTCACCCTCATAGGAAATAAGCTTTTTTTCATACTCAGACAAAACAAGAGGCCATTGCCTCTTATCCTGTCACTGGGCACCAGTGGCCCCATCTTCTTGAAGATACACATTGATAAGGTCCCCCTCAGCCTTCTCCAGTCTGAACAGGTCCAGCTCTATCAGTCTCTCCTCACAGGAGAGATGCTCCAGTCCTCTTATCACGTCCATAGCCCGGACCCTCTCCAGTAGCTCCATGTCCCTCTCATAGTGGGGAGCCTGGTGCTGGACCCAGCTCTCCAGACCTGGCTGAGCAAAGGGCAGGATCACCTCCCTCCTCCTGCTGGTTGACACGGGCAATGCTCAGCCTAAGGCAGCCCCTTGGCCACGAGGGCACGTTGCTAGATTCGAATTGCTGATGTTAGCAATAGGGGGAGCTGCCTCCTGTTGCAATATGGCAATCTGACCTCCTCATATGGAAAGCCTTTTGCTACCATTAATGAAAAATACAGCAGAGTACTCCAAATCTTTGTTAGACGCCAAGTTTCTCTAACGTGTTGTGAGAGCTCGAATGCTTCTTGGATAGATTATAGCATCAGTGTTGTGCTACCCCACAATTCATGAAAGCACAAAACTCAGGATATCTGTTGTGCAGTGAAGTAGTAATAGCATGAAATTTTCACATTAATACTTGAGAATCGGCAGTGTCTTTACAAATACCACTTTCCATGCTAACAATAACATATTGTTTCACTGACAGTGCATTGTATTTCATCAGTGCACTTTGTAAAGGCCCTAATAGTTGCTTTTAAGCCACTAGAACCCAAGCTATTATGATTCAGGATATGAAGACCTGATATCTATCAAAAAGGAAGACCTTACATGCAAGTACACTTACTTAAAAATCCAGGAATTTCCCTTTTCTCATTTTCTGCTAACAAAGCAAAAACATTAAAAGAACAAACAAATGCAAAATATTATTCTGCAAATCCACAGTCACACCCACAGTGGTTATGCCTCTGAGCTTCGTTTTGGTGTGAGTTGCACTGTTGGCACATTGACAGTTTGCAAAATCAGACTCCAGACTTAAAAATGAGGACTATGGGGGGAAAATTTATGGACATGAAGAAGAGCTAAAAGATGGTTAATTTTTCAGGTATTCAGGTATTTCAGTCATTACTTTCTACCTGCCAGGTCTGCTGGAAATCTGAGGTAGATGAAGTACGGGCCTGCAGTGAGCTCTGCAGCTTTCAGGATGTATGTATGTTCAACCATTAGAGACACCCATCCAAGCAAGAGCCCTTTTCCTGTCTCATGCTGAAATGGGAGAAAGAAGAAACAGATGTTGTATTTTACACACAGCACCTCACTTGATGAAGCCCTTGCATAAGGTCTTGCTCTTCTGCAGCCCTTGCAGAAGGGACGGGCCAACAGCACCATGAATGTGTGCTGCCTGGATCTCTCATCTCCGTGTGCGGGATCCCTGGGCCTGGGGTCCTTGTGCCCAGGAGCCAGTTCTCCTCTGGATTGTCTGCTTGGAAAGCTGTGCTGGGCCTCCCCCTGCCGACGTCCTGCTTCATGGCACAAGGAGGCTGAGAGGCTGCGAGTTGAAAGCAAGGAAGCTAAGACAGCGAGGAGGCCAGCTCGGGAGAGGATGGGAGGACACCGGCCAGCATTCCTGAATTGCTTTGACTTCTGAGTTCTGATACTCACGAGCCAAACCAACAGGTCGTGTTCTGATCCTGCAGTTCAGAATAGCTTAAGCAGAGCGACCATGAGAGCGGTGCTTCCGCCAGACTGACAGCGGCCGTGCTGGATCTCCCTGTTCTTTATGGCTCTGATGCCCCATCAGGAAGAGTCTGTTGCCTTTGGTAGCAGAACAACCATGGACGCTAACAGCTGCAAAAAGCACATGAAAGTGCAAGAAATACTCTAGCTTATGCCAAAACAAGCTCCAGGATGTAGAAAAGAAAGGAAGTAGAAACACTGATTTCACCCTTTTTTTTTTTTTTGGCTGTAATTATAGGAATTTGAGACTTCTCAATGTGGATCAAACTTATTTTGCAGTGTACCAAATTGAAGCTTTATCCCATGTGCATAACTCAAACCCAGAGGTCAAACTGTTTTCTACTCATCAGGATGGTTCTTTCGTGACTTTACTCGCAAAACTGTCTGTACTGATATTTTTTTCCCTCTGTTTTTAGAGGTTCTCTTTATTCCCCTTAAAAACTTAAGTAACATTTGTACCTGGAAAATAGGTCTGAGGAAAAAAATACAAGAATCTAAATTGCATTTTATAGTGGGTTAAAAAAACTGCATAAATCATGAATAGTAAGTATTCTGCAATCGTGTATATGACAGTATAAGCCATTTATACATATATATAGCCATATATACATATATATACATTCATACATATATATAAAATAGCAGTAAAAGCCATTTTATACATGTTCTTTGTGGGACTATGTCAGCAATTGCTTAATTTTTTTTTGGAAATTGCAGTTACATAAAGTTGTGTATTCAGTGTGTTTCCATATTTAGATGCTCAGTCACTTAATTTGGCATCCATTTAGGAAAAGCAGGTTTGCGTCCAAATCTTCACTAGTTTCTTAACTACTGGGCTGTTTAGGAAACAGTTCTCTATATAACTGAAGGAAGCTAGACAAAAAAGTATAACTTCCTCCTTAGGATGCAAAACACTCTCCTAAGCTATTGCTTTAAAAGAGAAGCTGATTTTTTGCCATTCAAAACTCCTCCGCAGAGAGACTCCTGAGGGCAGGTGTTCCTAGAGCAAATCTTCCTACGGATTTCAAAACTGTGAAATGCAAGGAGGCTTCTAGACAGATACTATATGTTGGTAGAGGTCTTCTCTCTCTTCCACTACCTTGTCTGCAAGGCAAGAAAAAAATATTCCTTTATGATCACAATATTAAGTGATCCTTTTTAACGAACTAAAGTTTTCTTCAGTGTTAATGTGAGAAGCCATTCCTAACATAAACAAAGCAAAAGGCTCTCACAAACTGCCACAGACAGGCCAGCTGCTGAAGTTTGTAGCTACCAGTCCTTAGCTTAGCCATAGTGATAGTAGTAATGATGTATGTATTGATCCTGCAAAGGCATCCAGATGGAAACCTATGTGTGAAACCCAACCTAGCACTATACAGACAGGCTGCAAGCCCAGGACCAGGTTCATCTAATGATTAACTTCCTCGAGCAGAAACAAGACCTTTGTCTTGAGGGGGATATTGTTAGCGCACCAATTAAATCTCACCGAAATATAAAGGAAGTTTGAAAGCAAACAGTCCTGTTTGAATCAAATGAAGCTGCTGACAGGTGCTTCACAAAGTCTTAAATAGCAATACAAATCTTCTCCAGTTTCATATAAGTGTGCTCTCAGTTCAATGTTCTGTTCAGATGCCCTCATCTTCAGAAAAGCAAGCTCTCTACCAAAAGCTGATCCGTATTCCTGGACCAGATGGAGAGCTTTTTTTATTTGGGATATGGCAATTCCTGTCAAGCTTCCGGATAGCTTTGAGGAGGAGAGGTGTCAGATAACGTTTCTGCAGTGAATAG